GGGAGGCCGAGGCGGGTGGATCATGAGGTCAGGAGATTGAGACCATCCTGGCTAACATGGTTAAACCCTGTCTCTACTAAAAATACAAAAAATTAGCCAGACGTGGTGGCAGGTGCCTGTAGTCCCAGCTACTCAGAAGGCTGAGGCAGGAGAATGGCATGAACCTGGTAGGTGGAGCTTGCAGTGAGCCAAGATTGCGCCAGAGAGTTCCTTATCTGACTAAAAGCAAAATTTCTGGGGAATGATGCTACCATAAATCCCCTAACTTATGGCCTTGAAGAAGCTGGAAACACCACTCCTAACCATATAGATGAACACAAACTTTCTTATTTGTTCTCCTAAAAGTCAATGTTTCTATTTTTCCCTGTAAAAGCTGTTTCTCCCCCACCATTTTCCCTACTTAGTTATGTAAGCCTTAAAGTTTAACCATTTGACTAGCCAGCTGCTGCTTTTGTTGGCTGTTTTATGCATAAGAAATTGATATTTTTCTCCTGTTAGTCTGTCTTTTGTCAGTTTAACTCGTAGGCCCTTGAATAGTGAACATGACAGGGTAGAGGAAAAGTTTTCTTCTTCCCATACAATATGGAAAGTTTTCCAAGACATATAAACTAAGGTGAATAAGTATTCAATGCTAACATTTTCTTGCATCTGTATAAACAATCTTTGGGAACAACACAAGAAACTGAGAAGCCTCCAGAGAGGAAAACTGGGTGGTTAGGGTTTGAAAATGTGCATCCTTTACATCTTTTGAATTTTAAACCAAGGAATGCATTATTAATACTTTTTAAAAATAAACTTTTGGCCAGGCACAGTGGCTCACGCCTGTAATCTCAGCACTTTGGGAGGCCAAGGCGAGTGGATCACCTGAGGTCAGGAGTTCGAGACCAGCCTGGCCAACATGGTGAAACATGTCTCTACTAAAAATACAAAAATTAGCTGGGCGTGGTGACAGCTACCTGTAATCCCAGCTACGTGGGAGGCTGAAACAGGAGAATTGCTTGAACCCGAGAGGCAGAGGTTGCAGTGAGCCAAGATTGCGCCATTGCACTCCAGCTTGACGACAAGAGTAAGACTTCATCTCAAAAAAAAAAAAAAAGTTAAAAAAATAAATAAACTTTCAATAAGGGGACAATAAAAATCATAATGAATATTCACGTTAGCCATCTTTCAATGAATTATGTAATTATCTAGACAATATTTCAAAGCATATGAAAAGAAAGGATAAAGTGTCCTTAAATGTTTAACAAAAGACTTATTAAAAGCCAAGAAAAAAGCTTACTAAATGTATTAGCACTAGAAGAATGTTTTTCTCCTTTTTGGGCACCCAAAACTTGAAAACAGCAATTATCTTTTGGGATATTGAAATGTATTAGCTTTGAAACATTTTCTGTAATGTTCTACAGGACCGGCAAGACAAATGTGATTTAGAAGCTGATAACCATCCTTAAAGATGAAGTTCATATTTCACTGGTTTTTTTTTTTTGAGACAGAGTCTTGCTCTGTCGCCCAGGCTGGAGTGGAGTGGCGCTATCTCGGCTCACTGCAACCTCTGCCTCCCAGGTTCAAGCGATTCTCTTGCCTCAGGCCCCTGAGTAGCTGGGACTACAGGTACATGCCGCCGTGCCCAGCTAATTTTTTGTATTTTTAGTAGAGACAAGGTTTCACTGTGTTAGCCAGGACGGCCTCGATCTCCTGACCTCGTGATCCACCTGCCTCGGCCTCCCAAGTTGTAGGATTACAGGCGGAGCCACCTCATCCAGAATAATTAGCTTGCTTTTCTATAGAGCCTCCTGCTCTGGAGTCATGTAACCAGAGGTCACAAGACTTGTAACTTCGCCAACTACTCCTACAGATGACATTACTATTGTGAAACCTAATTAACTGGTCTTTGAGATATTTTTCAAATTTAGCATTTTGGCAGACCAACAGACACAACCTGGACCTGTGAACCCCACTCGTCAGAAATGACTCAGGTTCAGGAAGATAGTTCTGACACGCCTGTGATTCATCCTTGACCCAACCAATTAGCATTTCCCATTTCCTAGCCTCCTGCCCACCAACTGATCCTTTAAAAACCTAGCCTCTACATTCTTGGAGGTGGATTTGAGAAATATCTCCCACCCTCCTCGCTCGGCTGGCCCTGTGATTATTCATTTTTCTCTGCTGCAACATTTGTAGTTCTCAGTGCATTGGTTTTTTGGAAGGCAGCAGGTAAGAACACAGTTGGGCAATTATAGCATGAGGCAAAAACTTTTATAAAGGGTTGGTGGAAGCAAGACCAAGAAAATATACTTACTTGATTGATTAAAGTGGAAAGTCCATAGTTAGAGGTTTGTTTCTGTTAGTTAAGCTTAAGTTTCATTTTACTGTTTACATTGAGTTGGGCTCCAGAGCTGGAGCTATCTCAACCTAATGGCCTCCAAATTAACATTTTTTAAACGAGGCAAATTCTTCATGTGTG